TAGTCCAGACTGTATGGCATGGCCATAAAAACAGACACATAGATCAATGGAACTGATTAGAGTCCAGAAATAGGTCAGTGCATACACATTCAGTTAATTTGCAGCAAAGGAGCTAAGAATATGGGGAAAGGATAGCAATAAATATGTTGGGAAAATTCTTTACAGGGTAAAGAACAAAGCTGGGCCCTGTTTTACACCTTACTCAAAAATAACTCAAAATGGCCATGTACTTGAATGTATGACCTGCAACCATAAAACTCCTAGAAGAATAAAAAAAAAAGTGGCTAAGTTCCCTGACAGTGGCTTTGGCAATGATTTTTTTGATCAGACACCAAAAGCAAAGGCAACAAGAACAAAAATAAACAAGTGGGACTATCTCAAATTAGAAAGCTTCTGCACAGCAAAGGAAATGACCAGAAAAATAAAAGGCAGCTTATTTAATGGGAGAAAGTCTTTGCAGGGTTACTATCCAAAAGAATTCATACAACTCAATAGCCAGTAATCGGAATATAAAATGGGTAGAGGGTATGAATAGACATTTTTTCTAAAGAAAACCTACAGATGGTCAGTAGGTTCATGAAAAGATGCTCAGCATCACTAGTCAGGGAAATGCAACTCAAAACCACAATGAAATAATAACTTTCCACGTGTTAGAATAACTTATTAAAAAGACAAGAATTTGTAAGTTGTGGAGAGGATATGGAGAAAAAGGAATCTTTGTGTACTGTTGGTAGAGTTGTAAATTAGTGCAGCCACTATGGAAAACAGTATGGAGGTTCCTCAAAAAAGGAAAGAAATTCAAAAAGAACTACCATGTGATGTAGCAGTTGGGCTTCTAGCTAGCTGTCTGAAGAAAACAAAAACACTAATCAAAAATTTATTTTCACTTCGATGTTTACTGTAGCATTATATTTTTCCTGATAGCTCACTACTACTATACAAATTAATGACTGTAATGTAGACATTATTAACAATAGCCCAGACTTGGAAACAACACAAGTGTCCCTCGAAAGCTGAAGACATAAATAAGATGTATATGTAATGGAATATTTACTTGGCTATAATAAAGAATGAAATCTTGCCATTTGTAACATCATGGATGGACCTTGAGTGCATTATGCTAAGTGAATTAAGTCAGACGGACAAAGACGAATACCATATAATCCCACTTACATATTGAACTTAAAAAACAAAATGCCAAGCTCAGAGATCGACGAACAGATTGTTGGTTGCCAAGTAGAGGGTTTCAGGGGGTAGGCAGAATGGGTGAAGTGATTCAAAAGTACAAACCTGCAGTTACAAATAAGTCATGGGGATGAAAGATACAATGTCCTGACTAAAGTTAGTTAAACTGTGTTGCATATTTCAAAGTTACTAAGAGGGTAGATCTTAATACTCCTCCTCATGAGAAAAAAATAATTGTGATTACTTTGCAGTGTATACAGATACTGAATCTTTAGGTTGTCCACCTGAAATTCATGTCAATATATCACAATAAAAATTCTTTTAAAAGTCTGTTACACTATCCTTTCCTGTAGCCACAGTGAACACGACAATAAAAATTAGGAAAAAAACTAACATAATCCCTACTGAGTTGAATATAATTATAAAGGAGTACTTTATTTAGATGAAGAGTCAAGTTGTAAACAGCTTAGATGTTTCTAAAACAACTTACAAATTTAATATAATCCTGCTCAGAAACCCAGTAGAAGTGTCTATGTATAGGGTGTTTGGAACATGACGGTCATTTTCAGGTCCTCTGGAAGAATAAAGCCTGGAATAATCAGTAAAATGTCTTAAATGATAATGTGGAGTAATAAGTTTGAGCTTTAATGGGTAAACTTTTTTAAGGTGTCAGTATTTATAGTAGTTTGGAACTGGCAGAATAGAGGGCCAGATCAAAGGAACAGTATGTCTAGAAATGAATCCAGGAATAAATGGGAAACTATTTATTTGACAAATTAGCATTTCAAGGCAATGTGGAAATGATGGTTTTTTTTTGTTTTGTTTTGTTTTTTTTTTTGTTTTTTTCAGTAAATGGTACTGGGGCATCTGGCTAGAGATTTGGGAAAAAATTCACTGAATCCCTAACTCCATACCTTTAAACAAAATAAAATCTGCGTGTACCAATAATAGTAACAGATGAAACCATAAAGTTACTAAAATAAATCATGGGTGAATATAAATTTATGGGTATATATGCAGGTGTGTGTATATAATTCCATATATTTTACATATTTTGATCTTGAAATGTTAAGACCTAAGAGTAATATAAAACCCAGAGGCCATGGAATGAGAGTGAGATCTTTGACAACAAATAAATTAGTGTATATAAACTCCTTTTGTTAAAACAAGTTCTTAAACAGAATCCGTATTTATTTTTATATATTTTTAAATATTTTTTATTAACATATAATGTATTATTAGCCCCAGGGGTACAGGTCTGTGAATCGCCAGGTTTACACACTTACAGCACTCACCATAACACAACCTTCCCCAATGTCCATAACCCAACCACCCTCTCCCCCCCCCCCCCCCCGCAACCCTCAGTTTGTTTTGTGAGATTAAGAGTCTCTTATGGTTTGTCTCCTTCCTAATCCCATCTTGATTAATTTATTCTTTCCCTAACCCCTCAAACCGCCCACGTTGCATCTCAACTTCCTCATATCAGGGAAATCATATGATAATTGTCTTTCTCTGATTGACTTATTTCGCTCAGCATAATACTCTCTAGTTCCATCCATATCATCGCAAATGGCAAGATTTCATTTCTTTTGATGGCTGCATAGTCAGAATTCTTATTTAATCTGACGGAAAAGTATTTATAAGAAAGACCAAAGGCTTACTGTAAACTGTATAAATTAGTAAGTAAAGGTGATTAACTCAATAGATAGGTAACTTACAGAAGATGCTCCATGTCAATAGTAATCAAAGCAATTAATATTTTTAAATAGTTTTTTTTAAAAGATTTTATTTATTTATTTGAGAGAATGAGCACACAAGCAGGTGGAGCAGCAGGCAGAGGGAGAGGGAGAAGCAGGCTCCCCACTGAGCAGAGAGCCAGATGTGGGGCTCAATCCCAAGACTCTGGGAACATGAGCCAAAGGCAGCTACTTAACCGACGGAGCCACCCAGGCGCCCCCAGAGCAATCAACAGTGAGATACCGGTTTTTAGCCCATTAATTGACAAAAATGGGCAAGATGCTCTATTAAAAGAGGTGGGACCACTTGTTAGAAGGTGTATAAGTTAATCAAACTGATTAACTGATTATATTGCTGAATAGTTGAATTTTTAAAGAATTATTTAGAGAGAAAGCATGAGCAGGCAGGGCAGAGGGAGAGAAAGAGAAATCTCAAGCAGATTCCATCCTGAGTGCAGAGCCCAACATGGGACTCCATCTCAAGATCCTGAGATCACAACCTGAGCTGAAACTAAGAGTCTGATGCGTAAACAGCTGTGCCACTCAGGTGCCCTGAATAGTTAGTTGAACCTTTAATTCAGCAATTCCACCTCAAGAAATCAGTTCTTCACAAATGGGCAAAAAGCGAAGTTACAAAAGTTATTCAGTGCATTTTATGGAAGTCAGTTACATACACATCTACAGAAGAGATTGATACAGCCTTTAAAAAGAATGAGATTCATGTATTCATGCCTACCAAGTGTGTTTAAGGACATGCACCACAGTGTTAACAATTGGGAGTAAGAATGTTAAGGGATACGTTTTCTATTTCATATACTTCTATACTATCTGAATTTTTTTAAAAGATTGTGTTTCTTAGAATGAGCACAAGCAGGGCAGGGGGAAGGGTGGAGAGGGAGAAGCAGACCTCCTGTTGAGCAGGGAGCCCTATGCAGCACTTGATGCTAGGACCCTGAGATCACGACCTGAATCAAAGGCAGATAGATGCCTGACCACTGAGCCACCCAGGCGCCACTCCTTGCCCCCATACTATCTGAATTTTTAATAGAATAGTTATATTAAAATGGCTTGTGTTTCTAAGAAATACATAACTTTAAAAAGTGCTGCCACTTATGTGGGCTTAAAATTTATCCCAAGTATTCATTATTATTAATTCTGTAACTATTATTCAGTGCCTGTTTACCAGGAATAGCAAGGAAGATAGTATATGTAGTAAGTAGATAATAATGTAGGTTATCGAGAAAAGGCAAAGTGTGCAGAATAAGGAAGAAAGAAAATGTAATAGTGTACATTTAGACAGGGTGATCAGGGTAGGTCTCAATAAAAAGGAGTTATTTTGAGCAAGGAGCTAAAGAATGGAAAAGAATTGTACCATTTACTGTGGGTCATGTGATTAAAATTAAACACGGAGTTCGAAGTATTCTGATTCTTGACTTGGAGTATTGCATGATTTATCTTATTTCAATTTAAATTCTTTTAATTTATAAGGAATCTTAAAATTCTATGTTAGATATAGAGAGATACTCAAAAGTTACATACATAGATGATAGGATACTTTATGTGGAAAACCCAGAAGACTCCACTCCAAAACTGCAAGGACGCCTACAGGAGTTCAGTAAAGTGTCAGGATATAAAATTGATGCACAGAAATCAGTTGCATTTCTGTACACCAACAATAAGACAGAAGAAAGAGAAATTAAGGAGTCGATCCCATTTACAGTTGGACTCAAAACCATAAGATACCTAGAAATCTTAGCCTAACCAAAGAGACAAAGGATCTGTACTCAGAAAACTGTAAAGTACTCATGAAAGAAATGAGGGGGGAAAAAAGGGAGTCCCTTCCCCTTCCCCGGGAATGTGTATTTAGCACAAGCATAATGTATATTTTGATGTAGATAGTCCTAGATCCACACTTGGATAGTGGCTCTTAATCCTTGGAGATGAGCCTGATTTATTCTGCCTAGGAATATTTCCATCATTATTTTTGATTCCAAGACCTCTTGTGTTCATATATACATGTCATAAGCATGGCTTGTTTACTTTTTGGGTAAAAAGCTTTGTTATTTTTTCTCTTCAAAGGTATCATCAAATGGTATTCAGTCTACTCCTCTAAATCTTGCAACCTACTGGAAATGCAGTGCTGGCACCACAGATCTTAGAGTGGATTATAAGTACAACCCAGAAGCTATGGTGGCACCAAGTGTGCTTTCCAACATACAGGTGGTGGTACCTGTGGATGGAGGAGTCACAAACATGCAGTCCCTTCCCCCTGCGATATGGTAAATTTTAGATTTCTGAATTCCTGATAAATTTCTGCTGCAAGTCCCAGCTTCTAGAACCTAAGTTCTCAAAGTTGTCTTGGAAGTTTGAAAAGTTTTAGTGTATTTTACCATGGAAACCATGGTGTGTATGAAAGATGCTGTTCATCCTATTAGATCACTGTAACCTCAATCCAAAAGTGCGTTTGCTATCCCACCCGGACTTGAATGATTCAGTACAACTTTACCCTTAGGCAAATTGCTTAACCTCAGATAATTATTTTGCAGGGTTAAATACAGCATCTAGCATATCTGTAAGAACACCTGTCTTACTAGTTTAGTAACTCTCATCTCTTAACTTCCTCTTATCCCCCAACTTTTAGGATTTTATTTATTTGAGAGAGAGACAGTGAGAGAGAGCATGAGAGGGGAGAAGGTCGGAGGGAGAAACAGACATCCCCAGGAGCTGGGAGCCCAATGTGGGACTCGATCCCAGGACTCCAGGATCAGGCGGTTGTTCAACTGAGCCACCCAGGCACCCTCTTGTTCCCTTTTTTAATATGAGTAGAGGTTCTAACATTCTGTTTGCTTCACTGTTTAATAAAATTTTCTTCTTCTTTAGTAAGGAAGGTACTGAATCACTTATCCAGTTTTATTTTCTCTGACCAGAAGAATTTTGTAATTTAGTAAATTTCCATTAAGATATAGCATTATATCATAAACGCATCTTCACCAGGTAATACTAAAAGTAAATTTAGCCCTCTAGTTGTTCTGGTGAAATATTTATTTATTTATTTTTAAAAAGATTTTATTTACTTGTTTGACAGAGAGAGATCACAAGTAGGCAAAGAGGCAGGCAGGGAGTGGTGGGGGGAAGCAGGCTCCCTGCTGAGCAGAGAGCCCAATGCGGAGCTCGATCCCAGGACCCTGAGATCATGACCTGAGCCGAAGGCAGAGGCTTTAACTTACTGAGCCACCCAGGCGTCCCCTGGTGAAATATTTAAAATACATTTATTTATTGACTGCCCATCCATTTGTAAGGCATTGTGCTGGACACCTAATCTGAAGATACTTGTTCTTATAGGAATGCAGAACAGATGAAAGCCTTTTGGAAACTGTCTGGTATTTCAGAGAAATCAGAAAATGGAGGTAAGTGTGTGTATGCTTTTTTTGTTTATAATATAGTACCCCTGAAAATGGATTTTTTAGGTGTTTCTATGGAAAGCTTTCTCTTGGATTTTCTTGCCTTCAGTTCTAGAATTGACCACTAGGTGGAAGTTAATGCCTTAAATAAGAGTGGACTAGTTGAAATTCGGAACACATCTCCCTCCGCCCCCCCAAGATAGAATATGCTTATCTCTATAAGAAAAAGCATTTGTTTTGCCATAACCTTTATAAAAACTGTCTAAGGGCATGTGCTCACAGGATAACTTTCAATTTACTTCATTAGGTGTTTTCAAGCAGAACCTTATCTATTAATAGAACCTATTCTATTCCTAATCTATTCTGCTGGGTAACCTGTTAACTAACTGAAATTCTTTCAGCACCCTTGAGGTCATTCTGTTATTGGGGTCCTTCTGGCTTCCCAGAAATCATGCAAAAGGTTCCAGACTTTAAAAATCCCCTTTGTTTGCCTTCCCACCTTCTTAAGACAATGTTTCCTCGTCGTATCACCTTAGTCAAACCAACCATCAACAGCTTTTACTTCTCTGCTTATTATTTTAAGGAGAAACAAGTTAATTGCTTACTCCTACCAAGTCTCCATCTGTTTGTGTTCAGAATGCAAAGGAAAAATCTGCTAGCTGGTCACCCTAGTGTCTCCCCTAAGTCAATTTAGAATATAATTTCCAGGACCATCAAGTCTTTAATTATTCTGATTTTGTCTTAAAGTTAAGAAAATTCTCCTGCTCTCCTTTGAATGTCTAATTAACCTTCAATAACTTTTCCTGTTAAGTAGGGTTTTTTTTTTTTTTTAAGCTTTCCCAATTTTGCTTACGGTTTTTTTTCTTTGAACATTTTAAGCATAAAACATAGTTTTATGTAGCCATATAGTTATAGTGGCTATTTATTTATACATACCATGCTGAATCAGACCTCAACTAGAGAAATATGTGTTTGCTGAAATAACCAAGATGATTTACAGTTACTTTGTTGCTGTTTGGTACTTGAAATTTGCCTATTTTCAGATGCCAGTGGGGCTGACTTTTACACAAACAGTATGGCTTCTGGGGAGACAAATTTGAAATTCCTAGCTAAAACTAGAAGTAAACCAGAAATCCTATTTAAATTGAGGGCTTACGACCAATTAGCAGGGAAAAGAGGACATATATTTTTCCCCTATTTAATGAAACTCTACTATTTTAAGTACTAACAAGGGAAATTGTTCCTTCAAAAATAAGATACAGATTTTCTAACCAAGTATTTTAATAGTCTGCCTCTGCTCTTCAGGTATCAGTGTATGTAAAGAAATGGAAAAATCTTTAAATGTGGTTCTGATTTGGTTAGTCAGCCTTTAAAAAGAAATATACAAATTAGAATACTGTAAAATAGGAATATGTTTCTCTTCTGGCTCTATGCCCAGAAGAGGGACAGGAAATAATTCTCAAGTTTAAGGACTGCCAGGGTGGCTCCTCTTGGCCTATAGTAGAACTTTCACAGAATTGAATTGCCTCTCAAGAGAATTGTAAAAGTTTAAGGAGGATTTGGACAGCATTTAAGAATTAGGCAACAGTTCACCCCCCAGCTGATCTGTGCCATCACGCCCAGCCCTGTGGGCTGGATCAGGGTTATGGTATCTTCCTTCAGATTTCCATGGTGTTCAGCTTCTGTGCAGGGAATCCTAGAATGTCGCTCCTGCTACCTACCAATTCCATCTCCTTTCCCCCTTTTTTGACTCCCAACACTGAAATATGTTTCAAATGCATTTACTTTTTTCCTTTCCCTTAGCCAAGTTGAGATTCCCTGTTTAATCAACTGTCATGGAGTCTTACACTGTCTTATTGGCTTTTAGATAGTTGCCCTACCTTGTATCTTGTACTTCTCTCCCCTTGTGAGATACTAATCTGAAATGTTTTTGTCTTATCTTTAGTGGCTCCCTAGGATTATTTCTTACGGTGAATTATAAAGATACTTCGAGCTTATTCCTTCTATCACTCTAGTCTTACCTTCTGCCGCTCTTCCATCCTGTTCTCCAGCTCTTCTGTGATGTATGCAGGTCCCTTAAAGGCACTGTGCTCTCTCAGGTCTCCCATCTCTGTACCTGTAGTTACCTCTGCCTGCAATTCACATTGTCATCTTCACCATCATTTTATGTGCTTCTGTGCCCATAGCTCTTGAGAGCTCTTTTAAAGCATCTGTCACAGTCTTCATAATTATTTGGTTTACAATTTGTGGCATATGATTAGACTGAGGTATGTTGAATAAATGGTTATATTGAAAAGAAAACATCTCAGAACTACCTAGTTGACCGTTGACCAATGCAAGGGTGAGGAGTGCCTAACCCTCTGCACCCCACCTGTCCTGGCGGCACTGTATAGTCAAAAATCCACATATGACTTTGACTCCCCCCAAAACTATTAGTAATAGTCTTCTGTTGACCAGAAGCTCTACTGATAACAGTTGAGTACATACTGTTCTGTGTATTATATACCGTATTGTCAAAACAAAGTAAGCTAAATCAAAGAGAATGTTAAGAAAATTGGAAGAGAAAATCCATTTACAGTACTGTACTGATGGGAGAAAAAGTCCATCTTTAAGTGGACCCACATAATTCAAACCCATGTTTAAAGGTCAGCTGTATTTGGCATGATAGACCAGTTAAATTTTAAGAAGCGGAGTAGAAAATAATGATGTTGGTACAGCTTTCTCAATCTTACCTGTCCTTCCTTACCTCTCCCACCCCTATATAATGGTAGTTGGCTGTCATTTCCTTTTGACTGTTCCTTCTCATACTCCTTCTAGGGTTCCCTCTGAACTGCCCTCATGGACTTCCTTTTTCTCTTTTGACTGACTTCAGCATGTGTCTGTAGCACATTGAATCTCAGTAGGAATCTACTAGGGTGCTTACTATTAAGTTAGAGAGAAGTAGGGATTAAATTAATTAAGACTCATTGAATAAAGTCTGCTTTGGAAACAATGGTTTGTTTACTGTATACATTTTATGAATTTGGCATAGGACATAGTTCATCATCTTCATTTGTTTTTTCTCTGTCAATTTTATGTTGCCCTATTTAAGTTATTTTATTCTTTGCCTTGTAGGTTCTGGGTCCCTCAGAGCAAAATTTGATCTTTCAGAAGGACCTAGTAAACCCACCACACTTGCAGTGCAATTCCTCAGCGAGGGAAATACCCTCTCAGGAGTAGATATTGAACTTGTAGGCACTGGCTATAGGCTTTCCTTAGTAAAGAAGCGGTTTGCCACTGGTAAGTTGGGAGATTTTTTTTTTTTTTTTAAAGATTTTATTTATTTATTTGACAGAGAGAGATCACAAGTAGACAGAGAGGCAGGCAGAGAGAGGGAGGGAAGCAGGCTCCCTGCTGAGCAGAGAGCCCGATGCGGGACTCGATCCCAGGAACCTGAGATCATGACCTGAGCCGAAGGCAGTGGCTTAACCCACTGAGCCACCCAGGCGCCCAAGTTGGGAGATTTTAAGTTTTTAATGTACCCGGGAAACATTTATATTTGAACAGTAGTTTTCTAAGCAACTGTTTAATAAACTGTCAAGCAGTTTATAATCTAAAGTCATGGAAACTTTGTTCTTTGACCTTTGTACAAAGTGCTAGGTAGAGACACACCTGGGAGAGAGTAATCATGGTCCGGACAGCCGGACGGACACCTGTGATCTGTTTCTAATGTATTGTCAACAGCAGGTGGGAACTGAGTTTATGTATCTGTACCCGCAGTAAAAAAGTCCTCCTTTGAGTTCATGTGAAGGTGTAATTTCAGGGGTCTGCTTGGTGTTTTTCAGGACGATACCTGGCAGATTGTTGATGGACCTGGGACACTGGTTGGCTCGAGAGAAGTACAGGCTTGCCATCCTGTGTTGTCTATTCTTTCCAACACTATGTTAGCTTGAATTAGGTCTTTGAACGTACACATATTTGAGAACTGATTACAAACATTAAGTTGCACTTTTGAAATGGGTCATCAAAAGCAATAGCACTGAAATGATTTTCAACACTGTTAATGATCAACTGCCATATTCCAGAAGCACATTTGTTGAGATTCTCAGTAAAATGAAGTTTTCCTAGGCTGAAATTTTACATTATCTTCAGTGTCTATGTTCAGTAGTAGTGTATTATCAGGCCTAAAATTTCAGGAGAGCAAGCACAAAATAATTCAGCTTTCCATAAATTTTTAGAGTCAGAGATAGCTTTGAAATTTCCTGAGTTTGATATTGAATGGAGTCACACAGAACGTGACTTGTAAGTTTTGGATAATGTTAATTTAGAATGCTCAAATTGAGTTATGTGCCATAAAGTAATCAGACCAGAGTCCAAGGCGTATGCAAAAAATGTATAATTTGATTCTCATATAAACATTAATAAAGTGTAAATGGTGTTTTGTATGATTTTTTTTTAATTCTCAAGTGCAATGTTTTTAAAATAAGCTTGCAAAAGACAGCAGAGAAATTTACTTCTGCAGTTAGTTAACTTTATAGAATTTGTGATTGTTTTTAAGAATTAATGCTGTAGATTTAATTTATTTTTATATGGATTACATAATGTGTGCCTTTTAAAACAATAACAAAAGCCAGAAATGTGCCTATCCAGTTTGTGTTCATTAACGTGCCTCACTTTTTTTCCCCTGGCAGTCTGGATCTTCTCTTCTGTCTTAGGGTGGTCAAGCATTTTTACAACATAATTGCCATTTGTGTAAATACCTTTGGCCTTAGTTGGGAAGGAAATTCAGAGTAACTAAAGGATAATTTGTACTTTAACACTGTGGCTCACTTTTTCAGTGATATACTATAGCCACTCGAAAGAGAAATATCCCCAAGGGCATATGTTTGCAGGGGGGAAACGTTACCTTCAGTTATTCCACCTGAGTATGTAAATCATAAAGGAAATATTGAAAAACTGATTAATGATTAATTGGTAACTGCTGTTTTATTTCTCAGCTTGGAACTTCCCTTCATTCTTTTTATCATTGGAAATTTATATACGTTACTGAACATGTTGTGAGCATGAATTTCTTATTTTGTGAGGAACACATTTAAGAAACATTAGTTTTGGCATTGGAGAAGTACTGCCGTTGTTTTCATTTCAACAGTTGGGAAAATTACCCATTTATAGGTTTTTATTATATAACTGCCACCTGCTAGAAATGTGGAGATTATTTGAAGTGATGGATTGGGTTAAGCATTTCTTTATTAATTACTTATTAAGTAGTAAAAAACCTAACTTTATAGCAAATCCTGATTAATTGAAGGACTTAAAATATTTTGGACAGTTTCATGATTTACAAATGAAAGTTTTATTTATAAGGATAAATGCCAGTGTCCTGCATTTTACGTAGAAGTGATAAATTGTGTTATATATGATAATTTATATAAAACCACTAATTATTCTGTTGAGCTTTATGGAACATAAAACCCCTACTACTAGACACTTATGTAATGTCTTGCTCTACTAAATACAGCAGAAAATCTACTTACTAGCAATACATGTAACACAATATGTGCTTTTTAAATATATTCAGTGTTAGCCCAGTTCTAAATTTAGATTTGACTAAAGCAGCACATTAAGACAATTTGCTGAAATGTTCATCTTTACTACACAGTGAGTGAAATGAGAATTGCTAACTCTTATATTGTGTTCTTTTAAATGCCAATTACAGCCCCTTACTGAAATCTTAAATGTAACTGCTTTGTAATCGGGCTCTTCTAATGGGCAGTTAATACTTTATTATTGGACTTCAGACACCATTACACTCACCATGTTTGTTTTTAAATCAAGTATTACCTGACAATTACAAATTAGTGAAATGGTTAAACTTCTGCACTTTCTTAATTACCACAGTCTTCATACCAAGTGTTGATACCTACATTTGTATTAGGCACAGGTTACAATTTTGAAGCCATATGAGTTTATATTGATTTTTGTTTTTCATTTAAATCCACTAATGGTGTAAAAAAGACCAGTAGATTTTCAATGGGAAATGTATTTAGCAAGCTGGTTCTTGCTTATGTATAGTGATAAACTTTGTAGCTGCCTCTTTAACCAAGAATTTGTAAACACAGAACTCTAACAAATGTGAGTTTTTAAGAAATGTTATTTACTACTTTGAGTTGTAATTAGAACAATGCAAATCTATCTTACACAATTTTGTAAATATTTTTGATTTTTTCATAAAATGTAAATTTTACATAAAAGTGGTACCCTTAATAAACATGTAATATATAATTTATCTGTTGGTTTATGTGTCTTTGTACCCCTAATGATAGGACTAGGCAAGCTAGGTGTGAGGAGCAATTGGTTTTGAACTTAGTATCACCATTTAAATTTCTATTTATTTATTTATTTATTTATTTGACAGATCACAAGTAGGCAGAGAGGCAGGCAGAGAGAGACAGGAGGAGGAGGCAGGCTCCCTGCTGAGCAGAGAGCCGGACACGGGACTTGATCCCAGGACCCTGAGATCATGACCTGAGCTGAAGGCAGAGGCTTTAATCGCTGAGCCACCCAGGCGTCCCTAGTATCACCATTTAGACAGGCATACATATTGATCTGTTAATTTTAATTAGCTATATCAGAAAACTTTATTTGCAGTATAACCCCAAAATAAAGAAATTGTTTAATAAAAGATTTTTAAATATATTTAAGTATATTTTCTAATGTAGTTTCTAAATATATTTAAATTGATGTTAAGCTTTAGCAAAGATTTTCCTCCTGACCAGTTGCTTAAAAAACAATCTTGACACAGTTTTAAAACCATACTTTTCATCCGTTGCTGGTATTAGTCAGAACAAGTGATTTCTTGGCCTTTTCCTTATGGTTGCAGTGTGGCTGCCACAGATCCAGAGTATATATTTACATTGGAAGCTGGGGGAAGAGGGCAGTGCCTGGTGTACCTGTCCTTTCAGGAGAGTAAAAGCTTTTCCAGAAGCTTCCACCATGTATGTGCTTATATCCTGTTGTCTAGTATTGTTTAAGAGAGGCAGAGTATGCAAGTAGCCTTTATAATGAAAATGGGCAAAGGAGAAGAGGCTGGACCAGGTCAGTCACAGGATTCCTGACAAATACAGGAGTATTTCCTTATAGCTTACTGCCAATTGAATCTTTGCATTATCCCAGTCAACTTCAAACCTAGCAATGGGCAGGGCAAACTTGAAAATCTTCTGTTTTTATCTTTAGGAAGAATCTATCAGTATAACCTTTGTATAGAGTAATTTGGAACCAGAGCACACCGATATCTGTGGTGAACATTGATGCCAAAATCCTCAACAAGTATTAACAAACCACATTCAACAATCCACTAAAACAATCATTCATGACAGTCAAGCAGGATTTATTCTGGGGATGCAAGGATGGTTTAACATACACAAAGTCAATATGGTACACTGTATTGAGAAAGAAAATTAATGATCATGTAATTACATTTCAAAAGATGCAGAGAAAGCATCTGACAAAATTCAGTATCCATTCATGATTAAAAACTCCCAACTAAGTGGACAGAGAGGAAATATACTTCAATATAATAAAGGCCATAAATAGCAAACCCATTGTTCAGTGGGTGAAATGCTGAAAGCTTTTCCTCAAAGATTTTGGACAAGATAAGGATGCCCACTCTGAGCAGAGTGCTTCAAGTCCTACTGATAGCAATTAGAAAGAAAAGGAAATGAAAGGCATCCAAGTTGGTAAGGAAGAAGTAAAACTTAGCAGTTGCACATGGAGGATCTGAATATAGGAGACCCTAAATACTCTTCCAAAAAACTATAAGAACTAAAAAATTCAAGAAGTTTGTGGGATACAAAAACCAGTTGCATTTCTATACACTAATAGCAAAGTAGCAGAAAGAGAAATTAAGAAAACTAAATCCCTGTTTACAATTACATCAAATGGTATAAAACCTAGGAATAAATGTAACCACTGAGGTAAAAGACCTATACTCTAAAAATTTTAAGACACTGATAAAACCAATAAAAATCAGCACAAATGGAAAGATATACTATGCTCATGAATTGGACAAATATTGTTTAAAATGTCCTTTCAACCCAAAGCAAGCTACAGAGTCAATGCAATCACTATCAAAATAACTTCTAGTATTTTTCCACATACTAGAACAAAAAAAAAAACAACTCTTTTTTTTTTTTAAGATTTTTTTTAAGTAATCTCTACACCCAATGTGGGGCTCGCACTCACAACCCTGAGATCAAGAGTCACATGCTCCACTGACTGAGCCAGCCCCATTAAAATCTCAAACTCTTAGGGAACTAAAAAAGACCACCAATAGCTCAAGCAATCATGAGAAAGGAGAACAAAGCTGGAGACATCAACATCCCAGTTTTCAAGTACACTGCAAAGCTATAGTAATCAAAACAGTGTGGTATTGGCACAACAACAGAGATTGATAAAATAGAAACGAAGAACCCAGAAATCCATGGTTATGTGATCAATTCTTCTACAACAAAGGAGGCAAAAAATACACAGTGGGTTAAAGACAGCATCTTTAATAAATGGTGTTGGGAAAACTGGACAGCTACATGCAAAAGAATGAAAACACTTTCTTATACTGTACAGGAAGAACTCAAAATAGATTAAAGATCTAAATTCATAAAACTCCTTAAAGCATAGGCAGTAATCTTTTGGACATAAAGCTTAGCCATTTATTTTTGGATAGATTTCTCCAGGTGAGAGAAACAAAAGTAAAAAATAAACAATAGGTACTATATCAAAACAAAATGTTTTTGTCCAGCAAAGGAAACCACCAACAAAACAAGAAGGTCACTGAGAGAAAATATTTACAAATGACACATCCAATAAGGACTTAACACCCAAAATATATAAATAACTTATTCAACTCAACACCAAATAGTATGATTGAAAAGCGGACAGAGAACCTGAATAGACATTTTTCCAAACAAGACCTAGAAGTGGCCAACAGACACATGAAAAGGTGCTCAACGTCACTCACTGCCTGGGAAACTCAAGTCAAAACCACAAGGTTTTGGAAACTCAAGGAAACTCAAAACAATCTCTCACCTGTCAGAATGGCTAGAATCAAAACACATGACCAAATGTTGGCAAGAATGTAGAGAAAAGGGAAACCCCATGCACTGTTGGGGGGAATGCAAACTGGTATAGCCAGTGTGGATAGCAGTATGGAGATTCCTCAAAAAAATCCTAAAAATAGATGTACCATTCAACCCAGTAATTCCACTTCTGGATATTTAGCTGAGGAAAATGAAACATTAATTTGAAAAGATACAGGAAACCCTCTGTTTGTGGCATTATTTACAGTAGCCAAGATATGAAAACAGCTCAAGGGTCCACAGATAGATGAGTGGCTCAAAAGATGTGGTGTGTATACATACAATGATTACTCAGTTATTAAAATAATTAGATCTTGTTATTTCAAACAATATGGGTGGACCTAGAGGGTTTTATGCGAAGTTATTATGCTAGGTGAAGTAAGTCGGAGAGGAAGACAAATAGTGTTTGATTCCACTTGCATTTGGATTCTAAAAAACAAAAACAACGAACTAAGAACCAGAGACAGATTCCCAACTACAGAGACCAAACTGGTGATTACCAGAGGGGACATGGGTAGAAGGATGGCTGAAATAGATAAAGGGCATTGAGAGGTAGAAATTTCCACTTATAAAATAAGTAAGCCACAAAAAGCACAGCATAAGAAATGTAGTCAGATTTGTAATAATGCTTTATAATGAGGGCACATAGGGCAGGGAGCATTGAGTAATGTATAGAATTGTCCAATCACTATGTTATACAGCTGAAACTAGTAGAGTATCAACTATACTTCAATAATAAAATTTTTACAGATGTGAACATTAAACTTAAAACGGGAAAATATAGGTATACCAAGGAACATATATATAAATTAAATGTTTACAAATAAAAGTATATGAGTAAGAAGTTTTAATTGGTGCTATAGAGAAAGTATGGTCTATCACTACTACCAGGGAATTTCAAATTAAATACCTTGAAACCAGAGGAATTTCTATGAAAAATTTCTAAAAACAAACTCATCGATGTAGCAAAATAATGAGATTTGTAGGTAGAAGTAAAAAGCCTCATGAGCCTGGAAGCAGCTGGTAGCCAGAAGAGAATTCTAGTTCAACTTTAAATTTATCTAAAAAATAATAATTCTAACATAAATTAAAGTATTAATCCTAAGAGGTGGAAGATACAAGATACAAACTTCTTTGGCAAATAAGTATTATCACAGTTGGACTAAAAGCAAACAGCAATTAAGAAAGCATTCAAGTTTTCTTGCTTTGTGAGTCCTTGACTGCAGCTTCCTTCTCAGACTGCGGTATGTGGGTCGCGCATCAAGCCAGGATGGTGAGGACAGCTTTCCACGGCTAGTGTTCCACTAGTTTCCACTGCCAGTGTTCCAGGGTGCACCTTGCCTGGATCGTGGTTGATATATTCAGCTATACATCCCCTCAGCCACCTCTCACCAAAATGACTAGGAGGAGGAACACCCAACAGGAAAAATTCAGAGACTGTGCCCTCTCTATCAGAACTATTGGATATGGACATAAACAGTATGTCAGAAAGGGAATTCAGGCTAACAATTATCCAGTCAATGGCTAGGTTGGAGAAAACAATTAGCGACAACATAGAATCTCTAAGGGCAGAAGTGAGAGCCCCCTGGGCAGAAGTTAAAAATGCTGTCAATGAGGGGCACCTGGGTGGCTCAGTGGGTTGAGCCTCTGCCTTCGGCTCAGGTCATGATCTCGGGGTCCTGGGATCGAGCCCCACATCGGGCTCTCTGCACAGCAGGGAGCCTGCTTCCCCCTCTCTCTCTGCCTGCTTCTCTGCCTACTTGTGATCTCTCTCTCTCTCTCTCTGTTGAATAAATCAATAAAATCTTTAAAAAAAATGCTGTCAATGAGATCCAATCTCATCTAAATATTCTAACAGCTAGGGTAACCAAGGCAGAAGATAGAATTAGTGATCTAGAGGACAAACTGATAGAGAAAAAGGATCAGGAGGAGGCATGGAAGAAACAGCTTAGAAGCCATGAAAACAGAATTAGGGAAATAAATGATGCCATGAACTGTTCCAATGTCAGAATTATTGGGATCCTTGAGGGGGTGAAGAAAGAGAGAATAGTAGAAGATATAGTTGAACAAATTCTGGATGAAAATTTTCCCAATCTGGTGAGAACCAGCGTTTGTCCTGGAGGCAGAAAGAACACCCCCAAGATCAAAA